TAAATTTCCATCCTGAGTCTGCACAGACTTTTGGCTGCACGCCCTTAAAGCTAAGGCTATGTAAGACTAGAAATGAATTAGAGCATGCAGAAGGGCCAGCTCAGCCTCCAAAAAAGAGCCAACATATTGCCTCTCTGTGATCTCTGTGCTTCCATATGTGCTTTGACTCCTCTAAACACCAAGCCACCTTAAAGACGGGGGGAAAAAAAGTTACATAACCAGAAATGCAATTACTCAACAAAAACTGCATTTACTTTACTTTCATATGATTTGATGCAGGAACAAATTTCTCCACTGACTTCTCTTCCTCTCTTGGGCACAGATATGAATCGATCAGACTATTAAACACTCAAAAATATCCACACAAGAAAACCTGAAATACCACAAAGAAAAAGCTAAACCAGAAATATAAGGGGGGGGGGGCATTAGGAAGTAATTTCAGGCCTTACACAGCTGAATAATTTTCCTCAGCAGCCGCTGATTTAAGAAGTTAGGTCATGCTCTAAAACGTTGGGGAATACTCTCAGCAAAGGAGCCAGAGGGACTATTCAGTATGTCCGTGTCCACCCTCCCTTGGAGCACAGCTCAAAAGGTTTTCAGCAGATTTAGTCTAAAAAGGACAGGCAGCAAAACCATCTCACTCAGCTCCAGTAAATCAACATTTACATTAATATATCATGCTAAATGCAAGGCAGTCCCTGAAATTCAGGAAAAGTAGCAAATATTAAACCAGAAATGTATGCCTTCCTACTATGGTCTGATCTCCCAGCGGCAAGCTGACAGGCAAACCAGGCACCTTGTTCAAGACCTCCTCCTAAGGTAGAATACCAAAATGATTCAACATAGTAGAGTTGACTAGCCCTATAATACCACACATTTTATCAGTAATCCAAGGATTACCTAGAAAACCACAAATCACAGAAATACAGCATGGAGAACACATGACTACTTCCGCCAAAAGAGTCTTCCATATAAAACTCAGGTCATTATTTGTTCTTCCTTCCACTCTAATTCATTCCACTAGTTATAATTACATGTTTTGGAGTACTGAAAAGCACATTACAGCTATGAAGGTCAGTGCCCTGCTATCAAATATCTCATACAGCCTCAGAAGAAAAAAAAACCAACCAGAATCTACTCTGTCAAATTCTTTAACAAAGAGTCTTTCTAAAGAACTGGGTTATCTAACAGGTCTGACAAACGTCTATAAACTTAAGAAAGAACCAAGGAGAAATAGTTTATAGAAGCAACCTGAATGCCAAGCCTGCCAACTGTTATATTAACATATATTACATGCTCTCTCTGAGCTCACAAACTAGAAATCATTAGTCAAACATGATTAATATGCAGTCAGTACTCAGAACAACTTTTATATATGTACACACACAGAGAGGTATAAATATACGTGTGCACATGCACATACCCATACACACACACACACCCCTATATAGGATATACCTATATAAAGGCAATACAAATTCAAACACGCTCAGTCAAGAGGGAGTCACCCAATCACAGAAAACAAGGGAGAAGAAATCAGTCAAAGCCACGTTTGATACAAATTTTCCATGCTGCTAAGGCTGGATTGTTGTTGGCAAAAGCACAAAGGAAGTTTAAGTAAATGGGAGACATAAAAGGAGAGTTCATCACAAGGAGAAAGAAAAGCTAGGGAGCTCAAACACTTCAACCAGTTCCACGGGTAGCCCCTAGAAAAAGCTACCAGATTGCTCCAAATCTCTACAAACTAGATACAACTTCGATGCAGCTAAGGAATAGTCTTACTAGTAAGTGTTATTTAGAATTGGTTTTCTATTTGACACACTTTTCTGTTGTTTCCAGCTTTCTAATCAAGAATTAACTCTCATTTTGCTAGAATAAAGCCAGTTTTAAGGTTTCCCAGTGCCTTAAAATGCCTAGTAATTAAAATGAAGTAAAGTGGGTATTAGGCATATTGCTTTCAAAGAGTGCCAGTCTGACTGGATTTGGAGAAATCCTTTGAGGTACCTCTAAACTGAGACAGATTTAAGCTTCTCAGACACTGGCAAAAAAAAACCACAACAAAACACCCCCC